GAGAGAGAGAGAGAGAGAGAGAGAGAGAGAGAGAGAGAGAGAGAGAGAGAGAGAGAGAGAGAGAGAGAGAGAAAGTGAAATCTAGAGAATGTGGGAAAACACAAAAGTAAGGGTTTAAGTACTAATTGAATTGGGAAAAGGGGGGAGAGTGAGATTAGAAATTCGAAAAGCTGGTGGGCGGGAAATTTTTTAGCCTAGTATTTTTGTGATTGAAGTTTCACCAGATTTGCAGCTTCACAGAAAACATAAAAGTTGTACTTTATATTTTTTTTTCCATTTATCTTGGTTTTACTCTATTACAATGACTGATTTAATGGTTATACCAGATATGTTCTGTATACTAGATTCATTTTGCATTTGTCCATGTATATATAAACTCGATTTGATTACATAGTAAGATTTCAAATGAGACAGGGTGAATATTAACGAAAAACATATAAGAAGACATTGTAATGACATCATGATTACTAATAACCAACGAGATTTTTTTATTTGTTCTGATAAAATCATAATCAACACAACCCAAAATAACTCATAAAATACCATCTTATTAATACATACGAAATTTTAAAATTTACAATCATATTACTCAGTCTACATATCGTACTTATACCAGTAAATGATAAAGTTTGCACAACACAAAATACAAATCTCACCTTTCAACGTCTCCTCTTCTGTTTTTTGTGGGGATGTTCATTGTGTTCCTTATGTCCCAAACCAGTACCCACATTATCTTCTTCTCTATATCCACTCTCACGCTCACCATAGTTCTTACTACATGAGCTTTCATTCTTAACTCTCGATAGTTGCTCGGTAATTTGAGATATTTCCAATTCTTGGGTGTCCTTTACATGCAAAATACTTCTTCTTTATTCTTTATTCACTGATGTTAGATAAACAAACACATCTTCATCATCCAAAATATATGATTATCTCTTAGGTTCCACTACCAGTGGAATGTAACCAAATTTCAGCCTCTTCGTAAACGGATCTATTCCCATCTTCCTGCATATTCTCTCCTTCAACAATAAATAAGTGATCTTCTCCAACGATGATGTCATAAAGGATATACCATACAAACGACCATTGGTTGGAATCCATTCATAATTATTTTAAGACTTAGAATAATGTCCATCATAATCAATGTGTATGTTTGTAGAAGAAAGACTCATCTGCAATTAAAAAAATAAAATTAACCACTATGTTATACCTGATTTATTCCTGGTTATACACTTCTAGCATGTTAGTTATACAAAATTATACCTTGTTACACAGTTTTGTCAGTAACCAACTTTTTCCAACTTTTCCCAACTTTTCCAACTTTTCCCAACTTTTCTAGTTCTAACTATTCGTCCTCTTCAATTCGTTTCAATAGTTATCAGCTTGGATTCCCGAAGTTCTATCTTTTCTTTTTCTTCTGATTACAGTTATTAATTATCCAATTCCATAATAGAAAGACCATTCACACATTCTGATTCTCATTACTCTAGTCCAACTAGAATTGTAATTTGGAATCTCTGTAAATCGATCGTGTATGGTGGATTCTAAACATTGGGTTACGACGAGTTCGGAACGATTTAAGATATATACTCTGTCAATGGAATCAATAGCTCAATGATTCAGCATCCAAGCGGACGAATTCAACTGACCTAAGCGATGATAACGACGAAGAAGAAGAAAAAAACGAATCCCGCGAATGAGAGAGAGAAAACATACTTCCGATTTGGAAATAAAAATAATTCAGAGGATTCTCGGTTTTGACCAATTTTGATTGGTCATTAATTCGGTCAAGTAGGGAGGGACACTTTCGATATTAACTACCCATATGGAGAGTATGAGAATAGAGAGGAGTATGTGAGAATGAGTATGAATATGTCAGAATAAATTTTGCCTCATTAAAAACATTCCAGCATTATCGTACCCTTTTTAAAGAAACTTTTAATAAAAACATGCAAAAACGCAGATTAAACCTTGATCAACGAGTTTAACAAGGGGGACATCAACCATTTGCCGATGGAAACTTCTTGTTAAGTTATGCAATGTTAAATATATATCTAAAACCAAACTTTTAATATTAATTTTAGTGCAATATTAAAGACCCAAAAATAAAGTTTCAATCTTAGAAGGATAGCTAAGGCAACAATGATAGGTCTCTCGTATTTGTACTTTTAGTCTTAAGTTTTTAGGTTAGATTTGATTTTGTCCCAAACTCTTGGTTTACATACGTCCTTTTTAATGGACACTAGACTTCCAAATATATTTTGATGTAGAACTTTAGCATTTCTGCATGTGCAGTTCTTCAGCTTTTGCATCATTTCATTTTTGATCATACCATTTTTAAATTTGCATTAAATCATCTGATATCATACATAACTTGTGTAAATGAACTTATGTACATGTTATAATTTGTAAAAAAATTGTACACATGGATATTAAGATATATGTGTACACATGTCCATGTTATGTTTTGTGAAACAATTGTACACGGTGAATAGGATTACACCGATATGAGCTTGTTGAGACTAATGAGGAGAGGTATTTTCGACAATGAAGCGGAGGAGTACGCTTAGTCGTGGTGTACACATTGTAGCCTTTTGATTTCCCCCCCTTTATGTGTTTTGAGAAGAATTGTGCCGCAAATTCATATTGTACATGTGTACATTTATTCAGTTTTGTAATGCATATGTTACCATCCTTACATTGTAATGCATATGTTCTCTTTCACATATATTTTTTTTCTTTGTGTACATTTGTTTTTGTCAAGAGTTATTTGTGTACATAAATGTTTTGATTTTACTTCATAGATTTCTGTTTGTTCTACTAATTGTTTTTCATGACACATATCTACTTCCAAGGGTGTTGTACACTTGGAATTTGAGTTTAGAATTTGAGTTTAGTTTGTTCATAAGAGGTTGGTTGCAATTTCACTAACATTTTAAGTTATTTTTGCATTTAATTGAAATTGGAGTATACATTTATATTTGAAATCAAGTTGTAAATCATGTTTGACAAGTTTTCCTTATATATATCTCCAAAAAACTGGCACTACATTTAACATAATTTTGTAATTATTTAAAGTACTACAAATACATACATAATCAATCCGTGTGTCATAAATAAATAGCTCATAAGAGTTTTCCCGTACATGCTCATAAATACAATTTTAACTTTAATACTTTTTATTTTAAATGAATTGTTATTTATGTTTATAGACGATTATTTTCTTGTTTCTTTTTATTTGGTTTCTATTTCAATTTTATTTTATATAAAATTCAATAAAAGTAAAATTGCATTATAATAATCATTCTATTATTTTATCATATTGTATTTAATGATAAAGTATTTTAAATATGTCTCTTATCCTTTAGTCTAAAATATGTATATGTTTAAATATGTAAATCTCAATAAATTTTGGTTTTTATTAGTTTAATTTAAAATACATTAAAATGGTAAAATTAAATTTACTAATTAAATTATTAAATTTAAACAAAATTTTAAACATTTAACTAGCATCAAAATATATCTGATTAGCACTGCTTTAACTTGGTATTGGCTAAAACACACTTAAAAGTAATTTAAATAAAATATGATATATAATTTGACATAGATTTTTTTATTTGTAGTTATATTTAAATTAAGTTTTTAATGGAATATATATAGTTCTAATTATGATATATGAGTTTATCTATTATACGTGTTTTAATAGTCATGTCAAAAATGAGTACTTATACATAAAACATATATTCTAATGGTGATATATGCGTTATTGTCATTACCATATTTAAAAAAAATGGACA